GATCCAATGCACTAATGTTGGCAGCTTTCTTTAATGGGCAATACAAAAGGCTGTGAAAAAGAAAATGTATGCTTAATTATACATTTGTAAAAAAAAAAAAAAAAAAAAAAAAAAAAAAAAAAAAAGAAGAACTATTTGTTTTTAGATATGGTTAGAGCAGGGTTCCCACTACGAGCCAAATATCAAATTTTTCCCTGTCTTTCAATGTCTTAAAAGCTGGATTTCTAAAACCTATAATTAACTGGGAAGCAGGTTGTTGCTGTGCTTTGGAAGAAATGAATATGGTTTCAGCTTGAATATCATTTTGTAGGACATTAATAGCGAATAAAACAATAACAATTAATAATTTACCTCAGATTTTTGTTTTTAATCTAAGGTTTTTACTTAGCTTGCTTCGTTGCAAAGTGCTCACTTAACAGATTGCTTGTTGTTTTCACAATTTTACATTTAGTTTTTAGTTTCTTTTTAGTCTTTGAAATTGTAATTTTGCATCTAGAGCTCCTAAAATATATATTACCCTGACATTCCTTCATTTGCTTTTTGGCTTTATTAATCAGGGGTCGACACAGCAGACCGAACCGCTAACTTATCCAGCATATGTTTTACACAGCAGATGGCCTTCCAGCCGCAAATGAACACTGGGAAACACCCATACACTTTTGCATTCACACTAAGAATAGCCTAAACATAACAACAAAAGTAGAAAAAAAATCATTAAAAATGTAATAAATGGATAATAAACTTTAAAGTGATAAATAAAAATCCTTGATATTCCATCACTTGAACAAAAAAAAATTAAATCTATGATATTCAGTTTTCAGTTAATATTCAGACTTCAGTTTTGCTCATTTGTATTCATAGGGATTCAGTGAATTGTGCACAAATACATATTTTTAAAAGAATAGCTGCTTTTCGGTAAAACAGTGTTTGTTTTGTTTTGTTTTTAATAATTTAAGCGAAAAGAAATAAAAGGTTAAACACTTAAAACATTTTTTCACAGCCTTTTTTTTGCTCATTTACCAAGGGTGCCAATATTAACAGAGGACACTAAACTACACACAAACACAACCTTAGTGATGAGAGACAGCGATGTTATGTTAGAGAACAAACAATCACCTATTAAATGCAAAACTTTAGCCAAGAGACTTTAGTAACACTTAACACACAAATGCCAGGAATTTCAAACGACGCCACAACTAAACCTTTACAATCTAATAATGAGAAATATCAAAGCTCCACAACAATAAACAGCGTTCGGCTCATTCGTCTCAATCAAACTGGAAAAGCAAACAAAGAACACCAAAGCGCTGTGTGGAAAGACATGCCTCTAGGTCTCCAATGCATTAACACGCCTGGTTAAACAGGAAACTAACAAACACACTGGGGGAATAAATCACCACCTGATGGCACTAAGGTCTTCGGATACTACATCTGGACTATACTAAAACCCTAAAAGCGAGGTTTTCTACAGCTGTATACCTGCTCCTGTGTGATGGGGAGAGTTTGACACTTGAGTTTTTCTTTATAGCGGAAACTCATCTGCTCCTGTAACTGTGTGCGCCTCTGAAAACATCAATGTAAGGTACATATCATGCTTTCGTCTGATTCCTGCCCACATTTTTTGTTCGTTTTACAGTTTTCTCATTTAAATTGGAGAAAGCATATCAACTGATAATATTAAAGCATGTAGTAGACTCTAGAGAAGTGGTTCTCAATCTCGGTCCTGGAGGTTCAGTGTCCTGCAGATTTTAGGTCTAACCCAAGCCAGACACACCTGGGCTAGCCAATCAAGCTCTTACTAGACTTTCTAGAAACATCCTTGCAGGTGTGTTGAGGCAAATTGGAGCTATAATCTGCAGGACACCGGACCGAGTTTGAGAACCCCTGCTTGAGAACATGGGACTTAAACTTGATTTCTGGAGGGCCGCAGCTCTGCACAGTTTTGCTCCAGCCCTAATCAGACACAGCTGATCCAACTAATCAAGGTGTTCAAACTACCCTGGAACACCTTGATTAATTTGATCAGCTGTGTTAGAATAGGGTTGAAGCAGAGCTGCGGCCCTCCAGGAATCGAGTTTGAGACCTATGCTCTCGAGTATCCAACTCATTAAAAGGGAGCAAAATTTCAACTATTTTAAGAAATTACAAATTTTATTTAGCAAGAATGCATTGAATTCAAACATTATGGTAAAGACATTTAGAATCCAGCAAAAACAAATGTCAAATTACTGTTTTCTTAAACTTTCTATTTAAATAATTTCGAAAAAAGATGCTGTTTGCTGTTTCTATACAAATATTAAGCACTACATTTACCTCTACAAATATCAACGTAGCATTTTCAAAAAAAATGTAAATGTCTTTGTATTGATTAACAATACACCAATGCCACAGTTCAGTTCACATTACTGGAATATACTGTGTTTAAGGGTGCTTTCACAACTCTAGATCAATTGTTCTGTTCTGAAACAAGGATTAAAATTGTAACAATGTTTATTTTTGTTCTTGGTGCGGTTCGTTTTTTACACAGCAAGGTTTCTAAACGAGCCAAAATAGTTAAAACAAGTCATGTGCGCGTAAACTCTCCTCATATTGGTCAAAGTTTTAGGATTTGTTTTTTATTTTTTAAATCCCGTGGATTCAGCTCAGCTATCATACGTCATTATTTTATTTTATGAAGACGAGCAATAAAACATACAAGTATAAATTATTTAATAAGTATATATTATTAACAAGTATAAATTATTAATTTTAAATGGTGACACCCACAGACATTATCCCCAAATATAAAATCAAAGGTAAGAATTCTCATACATTAGCTCATGTTTGTTGTCAATGGTAGTGCAAATCAATCTAGTGAATCAGTTAATCGATTAATCAATTTATTGCATGTTATTTTTGTAACATTAAATTAGTTGTTTTAAAATAAGAATAATGCATGTAATACCTTTGTTTTCATTATTAATTTTAATATTTAAAAAAAACGTAGAGTTTATATCATAGAGAGAAATAACAGATGAACTGAGATCATGAAACAGATCAATGTTGATCTTTCTTTTGAGGTGTCAGTGCAGGAATGAATAAAACAATAGGCCTAATACAAAACATTATATGACGAAAATATGGAAAAAACATCAGATGGTAATTTCGGTCAATTTTCCTAATGTATAAACCGCTATTGTTAATAGTTCAGCATGCTTTCACTTTCATAATTAACATGAAAGGCACATTTACCGGTAGGAATGACATCCCACCCTACTCACAATTCTCTCTTCATAGAGCTGTATATATGGCTATTACATATCCATAATACACACTGTGATATAGCCTGGTTCGTTGGTTCGTAATGTTGAGTCGCTTTCTTACTACAATAGATCGACTCCAGAGATCGTTTCAATTGATTGTTTTGGCGTGCACGCGATTGCTGGATGCACATATGCCAAACGAACCGAGCTAACGAGTAAAACGCACCAGGTTCCGAAACAAACGTGTAAAAGCACCATTAGTATTTTCCCGGAACAGTCCTATCATTGCTTCACCCCTATGCATGTATATTTATTTTGATGCAACTATATTTTGTTCAGAATCTTGTAATCACTCTAACAACTGAAAGATTGCAGTTAAATGATTTCATAATAAAACATTGGTGAAACTAACTTAAAAACAACCAATAAGCTTGTGCTTCAACCCCGCTGCATTTCAAACTGGCTAAAATCATTTGTTATTTTAAGTATAAATGGATACATAAATGTTTATAGTTGATTACGATTAAATTTATTTTTGTTTGAAGAATTGGTTGCAGTGTATGATATTCTGTTCGAAATAAACGAATCCAAACAACTCAATTGAGAGTGACAACTCAAGTCATACACGGCTAGTTTCAATCACAAATCAATGCCATCCTTCTAACCTCAATTTTATTCATGTACAGTATACGATCTACAGTACTTCAACTTAACAGACAAAAAATTGCTTTGAAATAGAATTGCATATAAAAAAAAAACTGACTGACAACACTAGCCTAATTTAAATAACTATCAAAGTTAGTCACAAAGACATAGACAAATACAGGTCAGTAGTTAGTGAGAGGGATAATGGTTGGTAGGAACATTGGATTGGACTGCACTACACTCTTTACCTTCCTCCATGCAGGCACTGGAGCCAGACGAACTGACTCGTTCAGAGGAGCAGCGGCTGGAGAAGGGGTCAGTATGAGGCCCAGATCGGGCATAGAGTCTCCCTGTGATCAGTGGCGCATACATGATGGGTAACCAATGAAAAATGATGAAGTGCCAAATAACATCCAAATTATGGAAGAGAAACAAAAAAGAACAGATGAAAAATCAGGATAGGCATGCACAGAAGAACTGAGGTTAAATGACTTTGTAAGGGTTTGGGGGGGGGGGGGTGCGTCTCAATAAGCACCCTTGTTCAGTAGTCAGCAGTAAGTGCACTGATCAGGGTGTCAGAAATTTGAAGTGTTGTCGCAATCGCTAAAAATTCTTCCAGTGTACTGAAATATACATCTGGAGATTGTTTTTGCCGGATAAAGCCCTTTAATCTTAAAATAAAATTGATTATGAGGGTTTTAGATTTTTAGTGTGCAAAGATTCAAGAATTGGCAAAGGCTGCATTTACACTGCATGATTCAGTGACTCAATTATGATTGTTTTACTCCCATGTAGCACAGATTGGATATAGCCCATGTATAAACAAATTAAAATAATATGAAAAATAAAATAAATTAATTATCAGCTAAATAAAAATAAATAATAAAACATTCAGTACTGTAAAAAATTCACTGTTACTACTGTTGCTGATAATGCTAGTTTTCTAAGTTTAAAATTATAATTTGTGCAATTCATATTTATCTGTAGTCTTTTTTTTCAATAAATAATTTGGGTATTTAATCATAAAACTTTGTTTCACTGCTAGATGTGTCATTTTTTAAGGATTATTCAGTGGCATATTTTTGAATGCTAGTTGTCGCCACCTTTTGGTTAAATAATGTAATTGCTGCCTACTTTTATTTTTGACCATATGCAAGGATTTTGATCTTTACCATAAACATCGGTGGTTTTATTTAAATTACAAACTGTTAAACTGATAACTGTTTGTAACTTCATAACTAACTCAAAAGAATAAAGACTGAAACTCACTTGATTTTAGGTTTTTTCATACTCAGATTTGATTGCAGCGATACGAAGGATTAATAAACGTATGTAAATCACAATCATTTATAATTTGTTGCGTGGGTGTTGAGATCCCGTTTTTTTAATGATTATTCGTGCAGCTTACACTGAATGCATTAATGCAGGCTAAGTAGAGACAGAAAACGCCTTTAATAACCTAAGACAGCCACCACATGCTAAATAACCTACTACAACTTCTTCCGTCATCATTATATTTGACAGAAAAGCCTGAATGCTTTCATACATTTGATCTGAAAGACGTGAGAGACGATCTCTCTCTCTTCGATCATAACAAATTTAAGATTAATCTAGTAAAAAAAAAAATGTATTAATCCGTGGGTCACGTGTGTTCCGAACCTTTGGTTATGACCCGTTACACCCCTACTATATATGTTAGGAAAAAAATCTAGCAAACATTTATAATTGTTTAATTGTTCAATCAGCACCCTTGTTAAGTAGTCAGTGCACTGATTAGGGTGTTAGCCATTTTAAGTGCCATCTCAATCACAAAATTCTTCCAGTGAACTGAAAAGTTCCACAATGCAGCATGAAAATGAGTGCATTGATACGCCCCAAGCGCCCTTAACAGAAGTTCACAAGCATGAAATATGAATAACGTGACCCAAATTATCACATGTAATGACAAATAAAGAGACATTTTTCGAACATATCTAGACAGGTTATGGAGAATTCTAGCAACCATTTATAATGGTTTAATGGTTGAAATGTTGCTGGTATATGAAACAATTATATTATTTATAGGGATGTAACAATATTGTAAATACCGTCATACATCAATAGTAATTTTATCAATATTACCGTAGCCGCATGACTCAATAAAACTATATTTCTGAGAAAAGTTTGCTTAGGCGAATGAAGCGAACGGGAGGTAGCGGGAACTACAATTCCCATCAGCCCAGGCGTGGCCATCATCCTTTGCGGTCTGTTGTCACTACAGATCCAGTAATGCGGAAATGGAGTGTGTTGCTTGTAGTGGGGAAGAAAAAGAGCTGGAAATGATCGAACCTAAAGCGGGTTTTAAATCGGATGTGTGGAAGCATTTTGGTTTCTTTTTAAAAAGATACGAAAAAGGAGAAAAGGTGACAGACAAAGAAAAAAACAGTATGCAGGCACTGCCAGACTGTGGTGAAATAAGTCGGGGAATACGGCTAAAAACAGTCATGGGGACAGCAGAACACAGCACACTTGTTAGATTGATGCAGACATTGACTTGTACCGCAAAGAGACCTCTATCTCACTCATGGCTTGTCCTCTCAAGTGGTGGAAAGACAATGCACAGCGTTACCAACTGCTGTCAACCTTGGCTAAATCATATCTCTCTGCCCCAGAAACCTCAGTCCCAAATGAGATGGGTTTTTTTCTGTTGCAGGGGACATTGTAAATGCCCAGAGATCCCAGCTTTTACCAGATTATAGTTATACGATAATTTCCCTTAAAAAACCCATCTCTATCTAAGTGAGTGGGTGATTTAATGTTGAATGTGATGAGTTTTCAACAATACTGAATTGAAACTTTATTTCTTTTATATGGTTTAATAGTTTTTTGTTATTAAAATTGAAAAATTGAAGTTCCTGTTTCAAAACTTACAGATACACTAGATGGCTAATTTGTATGTCATTGATATGTTCACTTTTTGTGCACTTTTTTCGAGTCTTTGCATTAGTTTTGTTTTCCTGTAATTTATTCAATAAATACCGTACCGTGCCATTCATACCGAGGTATTATCGTACCATGAAATTCTGATACCGTTACATCCCTAATTATTTAGTTATAATATACTTCTAAAAACATAGTAAACTTAATATATGACGATGATTAGTTCTGCTCTTATTTATAAATTTAAGTTTTGTTGATATACGATGAGGCCGTTCTGATGTCACACTCAGTGTGCATCCCGATGTGTCCCAAAGCTCATTGCTAGCTCATAACTGGCCTTACTAGTTCCCGAATACATGCACATGACCTGCTGATGATGACCTCAGGAGCTAGGGAGCTGATTGAGACGTACCCCTGAAATATTTCATGCATTAATAACACATAAAAAAACAACTACTGAAAACATGTACCCAATTCTTGTGTTTCAAACTAGCTAATTTCATAAAGGAAGTAGAAGGAAACAGATGAATGAGCAGACATACAAATGAATCAGACCACAGACTGAGAAAAACACACTGGTACTGAATTTTGTGGTCAAATTGTTCTATATTTTTAAAGAATACTGCATTCGTTTAATCAAAAACACTGTAACATACTAACAATTTTACAATTGTATTAGATTCTAAAATATAATGAATTTGTGTGATGCAAAGCTGATATTCCAGAGTGTTCAGGATTTCCTTTGAAAAACAAACCGTCAGAAATGCTTTGTGGGAATGCTTTTTGCTTTCAGGATGGCATACTTTCTAAATAAAAGTGATCTTACTGGTTTCAAACTTTTGAACATTAGCGTACATCACAGAAAACTTTGAATCCTGCAGATAATGGTGTCAAACACATCAATCCCGTACTGATACAGAAGACACAAAGGGTTTAACTTCCTATAAAAAGCTCTCAAATCCGCTCATGCCAGTCATTCCTACTAGCTACTCCATCAGGATGGATCAGAGCTTGAATCCTAGTATTTTAGTCATTTTAAACGATCTCAGCATGCTTTGCACCTCCAGCAGTTCAGGATAGGACTCTTCCTCTTTGGTTAAAAACAATCCTTATAACCACATGGGTTTTAAGGTTCCCACAAAAATAAATCACCCAAATATCGCTGGAAAGCTGTGCTGATCCACAATGTGATTTTCTAGTACTGGCCAAGAATACTTGAAATGACACACTGCAGCACATCAGAAGAAATAACATACCAGTAAATGAAAAAAGCATGTTCATATTAAAGTGATGTATTAAAATTAATCAGATTTAAGGTTAAAGAAAGAAAATACGGTGCTCAGCATATGAGTACACCCCTCACAAATCTATCTTTTAAATTCATATTTTTAATAGGAAGCTATACAATATTATATTTGTGCATACATTAGTCAGTACTGAAGCCAAATCTGGAGCTTATCGAACAAAATAACTTACGATAACAGTCCAAAAACGAATACAACCAATTTTATGTTATAGAAAAATATTAAATACAAATTTTAAAAAACAGGAAAAATCAAGAAGCTAAATAATTGAACAAATTTTGTTAAAATTTTGTAGGTTGTAATTAATTATTTACTTATTTTTTTTACAATATTTTGCTTGAATTGAATTGTTTTATCTTTCAATTTCTAAATATTTTTGGTGACTAAAATATTATTTTAATAAATATTTCTGATTAATAAGTCTGTTTTTATAAATTCTATATTCACTGAAATAATTAAAAATATTCATTTTCAAAATGGGGTGTACTCAATTATGTTGAGCACTGTATCCTAGCGTTGTTCCTCTTCACTGACAAAGTATTCTAAATTATTTGTGTTGGTGAGACAGACCTAAAAAAAAAAATATATATATATATATATATATATATATATATATATATATATATATATATATATATATATATATATATATATATATATATATATATATATATATATATATATATATATATATATAAAGTACTTTAAATAGTTAAATAAATTAAAACTTGCTGAGGAGCTAATTACTTAAATAGTAAACATAAAATAAAATTATTTGTGTTGGTGAGACAGACCTAAAAAAATATATATATATATATATATATATATAAAGTACTTTAAATAGTTAAATAAATTAAAACTTGCTGAGGAGCTAATTACTTAAATAGTAAACATAAAATAAAATTATTTGTGTTGGTGAGACAGACCTAAAAAAAAAAATATATATATATATATATATATAAGTACTTTAAATAGTTAAATAAATTAAAACTTGCTGAGGAGCTTATTACTTAAATAGTAAACATAAAATAAAATTAAAACAAAGCTAAAATTTAAAAAGGCATAAAACATTATCATTTAATATAAATTAAAGCTAAATTAAAATAATGCAGCCAATAATAAAATAATTAGTGCTGGAAAAAGATCAATTGCGATTAATCGCAACCAAAATAAAAAATGTTTACATAATATATGTGGTTCAGTTATATAATATATAAAATAATATATAATATATAAAACACATACAAAATGATACAAAACTAAAATATTTACATAGATATTTATATTATAAATAATTTGTATTACAAACTAAAAATATATATTTTATATCTAAATATAAACATCCTTAAATATATGCATAATGTGTGTATTTAAATATACATAATAAATATGCTCAGTACACACACATGTAGTACACACACACTAGTGCTGGGCAAAACATAACCGCAATTAATCTTTGTTTTGACAATTTAAGCGTGTGTACTAAGTATTTAATATGTGTATTTATTATGTGTGTGTGTATATAATACACACACATACTGCATATCATGTCAAAACAAATTTTTATTTTGGATGTAATTGATCTTTACCCAGCACCAGTAAACACAAACATTTATTTTGAATGTGACTAATTGTGATTACTCTTTGACCAACACAAATTATTATTGTTAGGAGGAACAAATATTTTGTAGATATTATGCTCACAAATATTCAAACAATCAGTTTGGCCTGGTAAGGCAAGTTGTTATATTATATTGCACTTGTCGCTTTAAGAATTCTAGCTGAAAGTATCCAAAGTCATTTTAAGCAGCAACTGCGCAAACACAAAGGTCAGCCCACCTGTCGTTTGAGCCCAGTGGACTGTGTCGGCGCGTTCTCCTCAAACTTGGCCAGCAGCTGCGTGGCCATCGACTTCACTTTGTTGTTATTGTTGGCTGCTGCAGCGGAGTCGATCTTACGTTCTGCCAGAGCTGTGGCTATAGATGGCCTGTCGTCTCGATTAGCCCTCTGCAGCTCCTCCTGAGATAAGAGAACAGCAGAGAAACCATTTAGACAACTACAAACATAGAATCATTATGTTGGACCAGTGATCCAGCATGATATGGCCTTACGTCCTCCGATTGTCCAGCCTGGCTCGTCTTTCGTCTTTTCCCTAGTCCATCCAGCTCCTTTTCTTTTTTATCCTGCATGACATTTAAGAAGAAATGTTGAATGCTGAGACTGAAAGGCTTGACTCAGTTTTTGCAGCTTCGAAAAGATAATTGAGTACCTTGGGGTTTCTTTTGCGGGAGATTGCGATGCTTTGACCTAGCTTACTAAGGAATGAGATGGGTGATTTAGTGCTGGCGATCAGTGCGGCCTTCTCCTCAGGGCTCAGATTCTGGTTTTCTAAAACAACACACAAAAAATAGGCTCGATATGTATAGTTGAAGACAAAATTATCCTTTCTTTTTTGTCTTTTTGAAAGAGTTACCAAGTGCTATTTAACAAAGAAAGGATGGTAACACTTTAAAAAAATAATCCATTAGTTAATGTTTTTACTAACGCGAACAAACAATTAGTAATACATTTATTATGGTATTATTTATTCATCTTTATTATGTTAACAAGTGCAACTTAACCGTTACCAAAAGAACATTTTAACAGTAATTGTTTTTTTTGTTTTTTTGCTCTGGAGAAAATTAGACTTCTTTTATTTTGGATGGAATAACACCACCTAAAAATACACACATTTATATATATATATATATATATATATATATATATATATAACTGAATATTAGCTCATTAAGATTTTTTCCTTATTTGGCTACAGAACAAACCACTGTTCAAATAGCTTGCCTATTTACCCTAATAACCTTGTTAAGCATTTAAATTGCACTTGAAGCTGAATACTAGTACTATATGCTGTCATTATTGCATTGCATTAGGTAGTAAAACTATTATACTTAAAAGTGTGTTAAAAATATCTTTGACAAAATAATTGCCCAGTTTATTCTACCAACCCTCTAAAACCCAGTTTTCTAGCGATTGTAGAGCTGCAACTCACCACCAGGTGGCACCGTGTCCTTGAACATCTCGTAGAACTGACTGAGGTACATCACCATGGAGAGCTTATCTGGCTCCACCACAACAGACATCTCCTTCCCGGTCATGATGGGAGAAATCCCAAACTCTCTTTCAGCCACGTCGAAAGCCAGCTGGTTGTTCTTCTCCACGTCTTTCTCGTCCAGTGATTCAAAGTCACTATAGGTAATATACATAACAACATGTAACATCTCTATATACTGTATATCATAGCAGCATGTTAGAAAACTGTGTACAAGTGCAATCATGTCATTTTAAAATGCTGATCATAATAACACAATTATTTCAAGGCAAAGCATAATCTAGAAAGCAGAACTGTAAGATTTTGCGTCGTATACATAAAGTTGAATATTATTTTCAAGATTTCACTGAAAGCAAATTAATTTCGGGAAATCTTTCAGTTGATGTTTTGTCCGTTGCTAGTAGCTACAGTATTATTACTCCAACTGTATAAAGAAGGACGGTGAATCACATGAGCTTCAGCATCTGGAATGCAACTGCTAGTCACCACAAACTTTGAAGAGGAATTTTGCTACATTCCCAAATCTGTTTTGCTTATTTTTATTATTTTTTGTATCTAATAATAAATGTTCAGTGATGGAAATTTGCTGACTTAAATCCTCCAAATTATTTTTGTGAAGTGGTACAAACTGGTTTAAAGATTATTTGTCATAAAATATACATATTAAAATCTAACACATTAAATTGACCAAAACAACTTTAAGGCAAGGCAAGGCAAGTTTATTTATATAGCACATTTCATACACAATGGCAATTCAAAGTGCTTTACATAAACAAGAATAAAAGAAACAAGTAAAATAAAAATAAAAACAAATAATAAAAATGCGTAAAAACAAAACATAAAAACAGGTAAAATGTGATATAAAAGAATGTAAATATAAAAAAGTGCCAAAAACCATTCATAATTAAAATAATTTGAAATAAATAATTATTTTATATGTAATATATGTTTTCTAAAGCCAAACATACATAAATAAATGAATGAACGAATAAAAAAAAAATAATAATAATAATAAATAAATAAATAAATAAATAAACAATTGAATGTTTTTCGAAAAATCACGTGACACTAAAGACTAGAATGATGAGAGATAATGCTATAAATTTAGTTTTACCATCACAGGGATCCATTCCATATTTCAAAAAAAGGACATTTATTGCTACTTTTAACAGTCATGCTGAAATTAAAATGACTTGTTTAGAGTAAATCTGCTGTTTACACCTTTTAAATGAGCAATTAAATATAATTGAAAGGTTTTAAAATTCACAACATTTTAGCTGCAAATAAAACAATAAATAGCTGCAAAAATATAAATGATTTTATCATTTTTTACCGTTGTGAAATGTTCATATTTACTACCCTTTTGTTATGTTTGGAATGAAAATATCCACTGAATTAAACTGATTTTAACTCTATAATTGCCAAATTCATAAATGATGTCACTGCTTTGGTGAAAAAAAAAACACACACACTAAATGACATTATCAATATAAAAAGTAACTGCGGATGTTTTTATTTTTATTTTTTAATTTAATAGTCTTGGACATGTGAAAGATTAGTAACAACATTGCCTATGATGCATTGTTAGTTTTTGTGCAACATACACATCTCAGGCAGCTGGTGCATAAATACAGCACCTTTGTTTTTGTTTACTCCATGTAATTGTGAGAGCTGAGATGCATATTTTTTTTATTTTGATTTTCTCAGACACATCAAGGAAAAGTCTCACACACATACACACACTTTAATTTGCTATTATACTCTATTTAAAATTCAGAAAAGGCTTTTTTTTGCATAGGCCTATCTTTAGGGTTAATGGTGCCAATTGATGATTAGCTGTACAAATTACAAATTATACCTCTTCCCAACAGGGAAAACCACCAACAATCAAAAATGCATGATTATATGTTGTCATGGTTTTGTAATAAAAAAAACATTACTAAATTTATAACATTAAATTTTTAATGGAAGTCAATGGGGCAAAAACAGCCACCAATAGCAAATTAGGGAGACAAAATAAAAATCTTAAGCAGCACAAAAACTAACAATGCATCATAGGCAATGCTGTTACTAATCTTTTAGATATGATAAACGGGGAAAAAAATCCATTACACTATTACCTTTTATATATTGAAAAATACATAGTTTTGTGTGTTTTTTCCACCAAATCGGTGACATCATTTATGAATTTGGCAATTAAAGTTAAAATCCTGAAATTTTCTAAAACAATTTAGTAGTTTTGATCAGAACTAAGGTTGGTTAACAGATTTATGCAAAAATTTACAATAATAATTTATAATAATAATAAATTTACTAAGGATAGTAAATTTGCTCAGAGTGTATAGTTGAGTTTTTTTCTTTAATTTCTAAACACTTTTCCAAAATGTGTGTCAAAATAAGATTTGTCACCAAAAATCATTCTGCAAGCTGAAACACAAAAAAAGTTCAGGCCAAATTAAGACTAAGAATAAAGCCACCCCAGAGTGGATGAAAACATCCTCAACAGTACATAAAGGTCAATACCCTAGTAAGGCAATGTAACCTGAGAAACAACTCAAAATTCTAAATGAATAAAATATATATATATATATATATATATATATATATATATATATATATATATATATATATATATATATATATATATATATATATATATATATATATATATATATATATATATATATTTATTTATTTTTTTTTTTTTTTTTAATCCAGTTGTTTCATGTTTTACTTCCAAATGATATTAAAAAATGTGTACTAATAATTTTCCATAAAAATATATTAAAATAAACTTGAGTAAGAGTTATTTAAACACACACACACAACTGTGGGAAAGTAACATTGCTAGCACTACTAATGCTGATTAATCATCAAAATTCACAGGCTAGTTTATTTGCATAATCAGAAATAAACTTTTCTTAAAAACTGAACTAATATACAGCAAAGAATTGTAATTGTCAGCATATTGTTTACTCCTCAAGAGGATTCCACTAATGCTGCTTTTAAAAACACAAATCCAGACTAGTTTAGCGAAGCATAACAAACAGCTCATAAGCTAAAGCTTTTAAAGGTCACTCAGCATCTGCTTTAGTGGAGAGTTATGATAATGCTAATGTACGTCTCAAAGGCAAATGAGGCTTTCAGCTGCTCTACGTAACAGAAGCCAGAGTAAGAATAACCACAGCATCAGTTTCAGCCCTTCTGCAAAAGAGCAACTCACCCAGCTGTACTTTTATTACAGTGCCCCCCACTCACCAGATGAGTATGCCATGTAAACAAATACAGTGTGGTAAACAAAGCTATAAATAGCTCATCAAAAGTAATGAGGTGAAGACAAATTAACCACCACAGATAAAGAAACATAGACGTAATATTATCAGCAATGACACTCTGGCTTAAAGCTGAACTCTGTTAAGTTTTGCTGACTCATATTTTGCAGCTTAAGCAACAAAAATATTTGGCTAACTAGTATTTTTTGTTTCAGAAAAACCATCTGGATAAGTCAAATATTTACAGAGTACTGCTATGAAAGTAATTTGACAGTGGAGTTTTACTTCGCTGGTGTACTTTTAATTCACAAGTTCACATCATTTTTTTTTTTTTTTTATTCTGTCTATATTGCAACACATAAATAAGTGGCCATGCTCATGGCTAACTCACATGCAGTGTAAGTGAGACAGAGCAAGAACTTTAATCTGTGATTAAAATGAACTGTTTTGGTTTACTGGCGAGGCAGTGGCGCAGTAGGTAGTGCTGTCTCCTCACAGCAAGAAGGTCGCTGGTTCAAATCTCGGCTCAGTCGGCATTTCTGTGTGGAGTTTGCATGTTCTGCCTGCCTTCGCGTGGGTTTCCTCCGGGTTCTCCGGTTTCCCCCACAGTCCAAAGACATGCTGCAGGTGAATTGGGTTGGCTAAATTGTCCGTAGTGTATGAGTGTGTGTGTGGATGTTTCCCAGATATGGGTTATGACTGGAAGGGCATCCGCTGCGTAAGAACTTGCTGGATAAGTTGGCGGTTCATTCCGCTGAATGAAGAAATGAATGAATGTTTTGGTTTACTGACGTGAAACTGCGAATAGGAGTACAGAATAACTCTGTGTACAATATCCCTCAGTGAGTCAAACAGTCACTTGTAAAGCACTACAGCCTCCCTCAGGTCCTTATGCCTGCCCGGTAACATGATTGATTTATATGTAGGCACTGTAAACCCAACACAATCTCACAGCAATTCGTAAATTTTTGATTTGATGGCTAATTCATATCAATTTATACAACCTCATTCGTTCAATTTCGTATGATTTGCTCATCTCCCAATGATGGTTGGGTTTAGGGGCGAGGTGTAGTGCCATGCCTCCTTTTAAAAATTAAAGTAGTTATGTTTCCTTGTGAGATTAGGCTGGTAAACCTTAGACTAGGAAAATGAAATTGAAATAAATAAATAACATGAAGTTAAGTTTAAAAATGCTTAGTCTTGATTTATATATTTGTCAGAATATTTGAAAAAAGGATTTACTTTGAAACCAATCATACAGAGCTTAGTATATTTCCTGGCCTATTAATGCCTTTTCTTTACAATACTGCTCCGAATCAGCCTTCCGCTGGGTCCTAGTGCCTACTACATGAGAAATCTATACAGGGTCTGCTGAGTTACACTCATAAAAAAATAAAGAAAGAAAAGTTAGATTAAAGTCTTGATTTTAATTTATTGCTAAAAGTCAACACTTGTGGGGTAAAAAAAAAAAAAAAAACCTGACCCTGTAAATTAACCTGTAAATGAACGCTTCTCAAAAATATACAAATATAAAACATTCCAGCATCAGCTCAGGAAAAAGGAGTTTTTGCAGCAAAAAAATCAATATTGTGCATCACTATAATGCTTAACAAGGTTAAAAAAGGATGTTACTAAAATATTTAAATATAAAATTTTGGTCATACCGCCCATCCCCAATAAACATTTTGAACAGGGAAAAAATGAACATGCTGACTACCATTCTAAAGCACAGAAAATCAAATAACATTTAATGTAACTCCAGATGGATTTGTCAGAGAAAAGAAAGTCATATACACCTAGGATGCCTTAATCCTGGTCCTAAATCCTGGGGTATTTTTCATTTTTGAGTGAACTAACCTCTTAACATGATAAACTTTCACTTTTGATTAAATAGACTATGTTGGGAGATAAAAAAAAAACAGTAACAGTGGTTCAAATGTATTTCCTGTTTTGCATTTGTAATTTCCATAGCTTCCAAGAATCTAAAAAGCTCCACATTTTGATAAGAAACATTATGACAGCGGTTTTAACATTAACTCATGATTAAATTGCCTCTTGTTACAGTTATGAAACAATTTGACAACAAGGAGGAAATGTTCATGAGCCAATGACATCACCACATTGAAATGGTCTATAATTTCATCATGACTAGCTAAAAGTTAATTTAATAAAATAAAATAAAAACTACCAACAAAAATAACATATTGGCATATTTATCTCTACATCCCTTTTAATACAGACACGACTACAGTACTGGCAGAGTATACATTTCATGATGATAACCTAAATCTCCTAACCACACACCAAAACCTCAAAACTCCCTAAAATGTCCAACATTTCTCGGCCTTGATCTACAGTCTTCTCCAAATAAGTGAGTCATATGATTTAAAATGTCCTCTCAAATTCAACTTTTGTTATTCTTTGCATGAACTGAACATCTGATTCTCTGAGGCAGCTCTGAGTTTGTCTCTAAATATAGCAGCATAATAACACAGGGCTTTTGTTGGGATCAGCATGTGGCATAGAGCACTTACATGAGGTCTGGTCTGTATCTGTGGATGAGCGCGCACAGGGCCAAACCACTCTTCCAGGACGTGGTGAGATCAGACACGCTGACACCTCGGTAGCCTTCCGTCTGCCTCTGACACCAGTTCAGCAGCTTACTGGAGCGCACGATGGACTCTGATGGAGGAACGCAGAGACAGTCAATGCCTCTGAACTTCAGCAAAAATATGCATGCCGAGAAATGGAATGCGCCAACATCCAATCAGAAGAGAGTTAGTGACACGACCAGAGCAGTCTGAAGAGTTTTCAAAAATGCATTTCATTCCCTTTTTGAGAGAGGTTATGAAACATTCAAGACATCGACAATTCTCAGTTTGAGAGAAATCCACAAATTATTGTTAGTGCATCGTTGCATTTAAGTCTAAAGCGCTTAAATCTTTCCATTGCATATCCGAGTTATTCGTTTCATAAAGTAAACTGCGCAAAGCTTTCTGAACGTCATGCATTCGGAGTCGCCTGCAAAAATTACCTTGCAATTGCTTCTCAAGCAGAATTTCTAGGATGAGAATAAATCAAGTTATGCACATTTACATGTTAGACCACTTGATATACAAGAGGGGAATAATTGTATGGAAAGGCAATGTGCAATACTAAAGCTACCCACCATTTCTTGTGAGTTTAGGAGTTGAAGAGTTGACCACATTCTCCAAGTCCACACGCAAATCCCTGGTTTCTCCGGTGTCCAACAGATGCCGTACCTGTGGATAATTATATTGTTATATGGTATCAGAGCTCAAGTTTATTCTTTAGGAGGAGTTCAGAAAACATAACTAGTTACTGCTAACTACTAACTTTCAATTAAAAGTCAATTTCTTGAGCGCAGAGTTGGAGGTCATCAATATAATGTTGATACATAAGAAAAATGTGCCAATGTGGCAAAAGTAATTAATAATAATATTAATAATATTTAGTAAAACTCCAGATGGATTTGTTATTCAGAAGAAAGTCATACAAGTACATCTAGGATGCCTTAAAGGTGAATAAATCATTCACACGGGGCGTCAGCATCACTGCTTCCCATTCACTTTGAATGAGTGACATCAAGCATTGCTGAACTGAATTGTGGATCTACTGCTTCAGAAGCAGCGCCCGCTGCAGAAGTTGGGAATATCTCAACTTTTCAAGCACCAATGGAAGCATCAGCTAATCAGATCGTTTTCAGACACGCCCCCCGCCAAGTGTTGACGCAGAAGCCCCGTGTGAATCGGTTATAATGGCTGGGTAAAAGTTATTTTATTAAAAAAACTAACAAAATTTGTAATTTTTAGAGTAACAGGTCAGGAAGATAATGTTAATACATACAAAAGCGTGACAGAATTTTAAATGCATATTTTTTTGCAAAAAAATAAAAAATAAAAAGCATTAACGTATCTTTTTAATGTATCTTAATTAACTTTTTTTTTTTTTTTTGGCCAAAAAAATTCATGAGTATTCTTGAGTTGATTCTAAAGTATTCTTGCTTAAAAAAAATCATAGATTTTTGCAATAAAAAAAAATCGGTTATAAATGACCGACAGCAAAATTATGATTAAAACAAATCAACCATTTTCAAGCATATTTAGGCAACATTTAGACAAGAAAACCAAAGAAAATTGTATATTTTTATTGGGATTTTATAGTATTATTCAATTATAAAATAATTATTCAACGTTAATTACAAATATATATATAGAAAATTATTAACCTTTTAAGTAACATTTCTGCAATGAAACTATGCGCGTGCAGGCTGATAGGTCACCTTATCTGCTCCTGCGTCATGGCGCAGAAGATTGGTTGCCAATGAGCTTGTTCCTTATCAGTTTAAATGCTCCAATACGTTTTACACTGTTAAGCTGCGTGCGTTTTCTGAGACCCTCCTCAACCCCAGCTCCACCTGTGTTTAGGTATACTACGGGGGTTACATATATGTTTGCAGCAGCGTGTTATATTCTCAGATGGCATGTCTGTGTACATACTGGCAGTAGCAGATCTCAGTACTTGTTCTGTCATAATAATCATAGCAGCAGCAGCGTAGCAGATCTATACCACCAAGACCAAATACATCAACATTGCCATATTGACCTTATTCTCCGCAGACGAGCGGGCGCTGCCATTTGAATCTTTTTGGCACGAGACTTCCGGTCTCATTTACTTCCATTCATTTTTAGACATTAAAAACTGCTCGTTTCGCTGTTTGATGTTGCAAACTGATATTTCCTTGTTATATTATTCTACTTGGTTTGTATAGTCATGCAAACATTTGTTTGTAGAGCAAGTAGTTTGACCGTTTTTTGCCGTTTATTATTCCTTGTCATTTCTCCCATAGACGACTGAAACGGAAGTTCTAAGACAGTCGAAAACAGGCGCACTTCCGCATTTTAGAATAAGGTCAATACATATTCATTACTATACTAAAACTCGAGTGTGTTTATGACAGAATTACAATTAAATATAATATTGACATGTCTATTTAATATCACTTAACACCAATTACAAAAATGTTTATAAAATAAAAAAAGTATAGTACTGGATAAGAACCAATATGGGATCAATATATAACAACTCTCTATTAATATTATTATTACAACCATTAGAACTGACCTCAGACATTCAAAATTTCTCACACTATTACGGTTTATTGACTATACTTAGAAAAAGGTAATAAAACAATCAAATAAGCTCAGATCTTCTCAGTTACCACACAAAAGCCAAATATCGAGTGATCTATTGGTTAACCAGTAGTCAAAAACAAGCATCTGTGTTTCCAGCTGTGCATATACACACCTGGTTGGGTCTCACTTGATGAAGGCTGATGTTGGGGTATCGTGTTGTTGGGTCCACGCTGTATTGGCTGAAGTTCTTACTCACATTCTCTGGTGTCGTCTGAGGCAGCAGTCGATAGATACTTTCCCTGAAACCCAATGGACTCGTGTGATTACTACACCCCATAACAACAGACCACAATCCCCTTTATCTTGGCGTCAGTCCCATTAGTGATCTCTCAGGAAAAGACCCTCCAGACACCATGCAAACTACTTGCTCGTAAAACACTTTTGCTTTCCCACAAACACGCTGCTCATTGCATACAAGCTGAAAAGCGCTTTGCCACTGTGAATTACCCTGCCGCGTGCAGCAAAATAACAGTGCAGGGAGAAAACAAGCACCACGGTAAATGACAGCCTGGAGGGGCTTGAGCTGTTTACTGCTCAGTTTGAAGAGCAATCACTGTCAGCCTCATCAAAAGTGCTTTGCAGCTGTATATCACTGGATGCTTTTGGTATAGCAAAACACCACGTTACTCATATTGCTTTTATAGTATGGCTTAAGACCTTGTGCAATACAAAAAAAAAAAAAAAAAAAAACTTAAACAACCAATTATCCACAAACAGGGGTGGGGGAAAACAGAAAAACAGATTCATTTTGGAGATTAATGTAGTTATACAATTGTTCCTGCTGAGCTGCAGTTGTCATTTTCAATATATAAAAAAATGCTAAATGATGACCTCCGCTACCATTTTTGACGGATGATGCTAAAAGAGAATTGTATCAGAGCTACAAATGGATTCATAACTTAAAGACCACTTGAATCAGAAGCTGCGACCGATTAAAAAATAAACATAAAAAAAATCATATTGTGACGTGGTTCTTAGAGAAGCAGACTAATAAAATAGAAAAGCAGTGGGTGTGGCTCGTTTTTTCTACTGCGAGCTGATTGGGTGTAGTAAAGTAGGCATTTAATTCTGAAACATTGGATTCAGGAAGGGTTTCGGGAGAGTTATTACAACCTAACAGACATCTTCCTCATCATTTCTATTTCTATTTCCTCATTTATTTCTATTTCAATTCCAAAATTGCCTACTACTCAGTAGGTACTGCATTTGAATTTAAATTTACTACTTGACCGTTAGTTTGTGTTATAGAGTATGAATGCGAGTAGTATTAATGGAAATCAGATGTACTGCATCCGCCATTTTGTCATGACAACGTGACCTACCAGCATCAGTTACGTCACTTTACTCCCATTTATGGATTCTCTCACGTGGTATCATGGGATAGTGTAGCGTGCATCAAATGCGCACTTCAGAATCACGCCGGAAATAGTAAGTCATCTGGGTACTTCTCGCATACGTTTTTTTTTTTTTTAATATTACGAATTCAGACATACTACTCAGCTCGCATACTGATTTTAGCGTACTATGTAGTAGGACTGGGCAATAAATCGAAAAGTGATCAAAAACGTCATTAAGAACCAATAATCATTTTTTTTAATTTTTCAATTTTTTCAATTAATTCCCCTACAGTGGTTACGGTCACATGACCCTGCACTGTTTATACCTCTGCATCAAGCGCACAATTATTGTCCGACACTGCCTTTGCAGGCATGGCTGATGCAAATGCGAAAGTTACTTATTTTACAAAAAAAAAAAAAAAGACTTTATTTTAGGCAATGTGTGTTTAAATTTCAATTGTTCAACGTTAATGTTCAATAAATAACTATAACTTCAATTATTTTAAAATTAAGCAAAGCACCCTTCATTAAGAAATCTCACACATGTAATATGTGAGCAAATTTACTTTACAAAACTAGTCAGTGAACTATGAGGGCAAAAAATATATATATATAAAAAAATCGTTAATTAATCGTAATAGTTCGAATTTTCAATTAATCGAGATTTTAATTTTAGGCCAAATCACCCAGCCCTACTATATAGTATGGATGCATGCGATTTCAGACGCAGCCTGTATCAGAGAATTTAACTGAAAACAAGTGCATTTTCATTCATCATTTTCTTGTCGGCTTAGTCCCTTTATTAATCCAGGGTCGCCACAGCGGAATGAACCGACAACTTATCCAGCAAGTTTTTATGCAGCGGATGCCCTTCCAGCCGCAACCCATCTCTGGGAAACATCCACACACACACTCATACACTACGGACAATTTAGCCTACCCAATTCACCTGTACCGCATGTCTTTGGACTGTGGGGGAAACCGGAGCACCCGGAGGAAACCCACGCGAAGGCAGGGAGAACATCAAGTGCATTTTCAGAATTTAATTTTAGATAAAAAAAGATCTTAATGACATGCTAACAAATTCAACATGGTTAATTTTTATTTGTAATTTAACATAAAATATTGCTATTTCAGTAAATGCAACTGCCAAATAAAGACAGCATGAATTACTACAATTTAAAATATGTTACCATTACTTGCACAATCAGACAAAAGTTTAAATGTAAGTAATTAAACAATCATGCATTTGTGAGGTCATCTTACAACCAAACAACTTTTTATCTGTATAAAATGTTTAATACACACTATTTGTTTTTAAAGTGCCCCTATTATTCTTTGTGTGCATGTGTGCGTGTGTGTGTGTGTGTGTGTGTGTGTGTGTGTGTGTGTGTGTGTGTGTGTGTGTGTGTGTGTAATACAGCGGTTTGTGAACAGTGGTTTCAAATATCAAAGTGCACAATACGCGTATTGTTATTATCAGTTATTATCTCCAAAATGAAAGAACATATCTGAAATAAGCCAGTATTTCCAGTCTTACTTCTTGTTATAACCTACATTGATTTGTAACACATTACCATAACGCCAGTCTATGGTCTTCACTGGCTATGTACTAACATCCCTAACCCGATTTCCTAAGTAGGACATGTTACTGGATCAACATCTACAACATTTCAATCAGCCAATCAGCATTAAGAGATTTGTTTACCGTTTATGTTAAGTTTAGCCTTACGGTTAGGTTTATGCATCTCTACATGAGTGATATCCAACTATCATTCCCCTCTGATTTTGGGAATAATTTCCCCTAACTTTCCCATGTGGTCTCCTATTTAGGTATTGACCGGGTGCAGCCCTCCTTAGTTTCGATGGGCGACCATGTGAGAGTTGCAGAGAGCTAGCTGACGACATCAAACCAATTTCATAATAATATTATCTTGTGCAAAATGTAAAGGCTTTCTACATTTTTTACCCAAATTAATAATAATAATGAATTTGCAGATTACTTTAACAGTCACTAGCGATGCTGTCTGTTATTACTGACTTATATTAGTCATTTTGCAAGCTATTTAGACTGGAGCTGATAACATTTTCGACGACACTCGTTGATTGTCGTCAGCTTGGTTTTAGTCCCAGCCTTTAGAGAGACTGAATCCTGGAACCAATAATTTTAACATAGTTTCTACAGGTTTCATCAAGTCAAATTTAGAACTTTTTAATTTTAAACTTTTTAAGACCATAATAATTGAAATTTCAGACTTGCACAAGGAAAAATGCAAAGTATTTTTTTTTTATGTCAGACTTAAATCATAAAAAAACATGTTATTGTAAGGAAGATAATGAAACCATATTGGTAAATAGAGTTAATAAATAAACTTTTGTTAAGACTTTTTTTGAGATGGAATGTTATTGATTGGAAAGCGTGTTGGCCAGATTGGGTAGCTTTACATAAATATAAGGAAATTAAAAGCTGTTTAAAATGATTTAAGACCTACAACACAATATTTCAGTTAATTTAAGACGTTTTTAGGCCTAAAATGTTGTTTTTGATATTTAAGACTTTAAGACCCCGCGGTGATGCTGCAATGCATATAATGGGAAACTTAGTGTTTCCCCAAAACAAAATGAAAAACATTTAAAACAGAATAAGTAGGGGCATTTTAAATGGTAGAAGTGCACTGTATATAGTGTACATTGCACTAGCATTTATTTTTGAATAAGCATTGTCTTACCGTTCAGCCAGCACCTCCAGAGGAGAGCTTCCATGAGCCCAGCTGCGCACCATCCATGCTGAGTCCATGGCTGCCAAGAAACCTCGAGCTATTCCAGTGCCCATCGGCCAGAATGGCTAAACATAAAAGCACACATCACTTTAATCCGTCAACTTGTTCCTCTTAGAGTAATGAGTGACAAACGAGCAGCAGTAAAATTCATATTAGAAATCAGTCACCTTCTGTTTAGAAGATGATGGAAAAACTACTCTCACAGGCGCGGTCTAGCTAGATGTAACGGTGTGTGGTGTTTAACTTAATTCTTTCATAACCGCAGCTTCTAAAGTGGTGGTTTCAGATTTATGTGAGAAAATGTATTTTCAGAAGCTGAAATTTGTCAAAGGAAGCTGTTGGAGAAGAGTAAAAGCCAATTTTGCGGTGCTTCATGGAAAAACACCATCTGGTTCTATTAAAGGATGTTATAACAAATAATAAACTCCCCTACGAGAACATAGTCTTATTCTCTCATCCACATGGGCTTTCTACTCACCTCTAGAAGACTGTCTCCCACAAGAGCTACTAGCAGCTTATGGCCGTTGCGCTGGCGGACGAGCGCTGCATTCTCTGAGGCGTACATACAGGTGAAGTCAAACATGGCGACGTCAGGTTGACCGTAGTGGTTGATGGCGAAGTCTAGCTTAGGAAGCTGATGATTGGTGGAAAAATCTGCTGCCTCTCTGGCGTAAGAGAGTAAAGCCTTCTGGTCAACATTGGCTCTGGAGAGCAGCATTTCTGTGTCAGCATAGTCCTATACAAGAGCAAAGAATATTTCAAATATATCAAATCAATGCGTCTATCAATTAATCAATCGACCAAACTATCCAATCCACTAAACCATCCGTCCATCCATCCAATCAACCAAAACAACCATCCATACATCCATCCAATCAACCAAATCCTCCATCCATCCAATCAACCAAATCCTTTATCTATCCAATTATCCAAACTATTCAGTTAATCAATCAACCAATCCCTCTACCCATCCAATCAAATCAACCAACCCTTCAATAAACCCATAAATCAATTAAAAAATATATCTAATTCCAAACATAAATTTTGAAATTTAGACATTAAAAAAAAGAAGTTTATTTTAAAAATGTCTGAAAAATTTCTCCAAAGTCCAAACATAAATATTAAAATTTAGAGAATTTTTATTATTATTTTTAAAAGGTCTGAAAAAATCGTCTAAATTCCAAAAATAAATATTGAAATTTAGACATTTAAAAAAAAAAAACGTGTTATTTTAAAAAGGTCAAAAAAAATCTTCCAAATTCCAAACATAAACATTGAAATTAAGATTTTATTTTATTATTATTTTAAAAAGGTCTATAAAAAAATATCCTAAATACCAAATATAAATATTGAAATGTAGACTTTTTTATATAATGCCTGAAAAAATCTTCAGAATTCCAAACATAAATATTGCAATTTAGACCTTTTTTTTTTTGTTATTTTAAAAAGGTCTGATAAAAGTCTTCCAAAGTCCAAACACAAATATTGAAATTTAGACATTTTTTTTATTATTATTTTAAAAAGGTCTGATAAAAGTCTTCCAAAGTCCAAACATAAATATTGAAATTTAGACCTTTTTTTTGTTATTTTAAAAAGGTCTAATAAAAGTCTACCAAAGGTCAAAAATAAATGTTGAAATTTAGACAATTTGTTTTATTTTTTTATTATTATTATTTTAAAAAGGTCTTTCAAATTCTTAACACAAATATTGCAGTTTAGAGCTTTTTTATTTTTTTATTTTTAAAAAGGTCTGAAAATTTGATTCTAAATTCCAAACATAAATATTGCAATTTTAGTAATGTGTTTTTTTATTATTATTTTAAAAAGGTCTGAAAAAATCTTCCAAATTCCAAGCACAAATATTGCAATTTAGACCATAAAAAATAATAAGATAATTTTTTCATAAGATTTAACTTTTTATTCTGTCATGTCTGAAAAAAACACTCTTTGTTATTTTATACAAAATCTAACTGCCAACATGTTTATTTTACATTTGAAATGTCATAAGTAGTTTACAGAATAAAACGAAAATTACAAATCAAATTCTTTTTATGACTTTATCTATAGTGATCTCATGATTTTTTCCCCCACATCAGAATACTATAAGTCTAATGTGACTCATATTCATGACAAACAAAAATTTGAAAAGACAATTTTCAACAGAAGCAGTTTAAAACTGCTAAGGCAGATGTAACAACAATAATAGTTTTTCGCATTAAATAAAGGTGGGTTGATTCTTTCAAACTCCACACAAAATTGAGAGCAACTGGAGAGCACCATGAGGCATATAATTCAGCCGTGAGTGGTTGTGGGTGTGGTAATAGGATATTTGAGAGGTCTTTTCCTCTCTGATTCATGTTGCTACGAGCAGACAGTGTTTGTTTCTAACAGTCAGGCTTTTTAAAACAGTCGAGGGCTCTCAGTCCTGACACTCATTTAAAACGCCTTTATTTTGAGCACAATTACAGTTAAGCCATAATCCTGATGCATTAAATAAGTGTTTTGTCCGGTGGGATCCTGTAATTTATCCTGAAAAATGCAAAGCCAGCAAAGCTTTCTCGCAACCTACCGGGCTCCATTAATTGGTCTCATTACTGTGCGTCATTATATCAGTTGTATTGTGCAAGACTTAGTGTGAGTGTGTGTGTGTGTGTGTGTGTGTGTGTGTGTGTGTGTGTGTGAGAGAGAGAGAGAGAGAGAGAGAGAGAGAGAGAGAGAGAGGGCTGGAATTGAGGCTCCCTGTTAATGATTCAACAAACTTGGCAGAACTGGAAACAGAGCAGAAGAGCTCATTGTGAATAAATGGGAACAGACTGTCCGCTCAGAGTAATGATTATTTACACTTCTATGGGCAAAAAGGCTTCTATAAAAGAGAAAATTAAAAACCTAGAGCTTGTATATGATACATACACCAAGCTTTGGAATATATTTAATTATAAATTTTTTTGGTAATATGTTTGAAAGACGTCTATTATGTTGACCAAAGCTTCAAACATAAAGGTGGAAAATACTCTTGATAAAATTAATGCATTACTACTTGAAAAAAAAATCAGTAAAATTAAATATAATAAAAAATATAATATAATATATACAATAAAATATAACATAAAAAATAAATACCAATAAAATAGAAAAATATTAAATTTAGCAAAATATATATTTGCTAAAATTAATGTATTCTTACTGAAAATAAATAAATATGTAAAATAAAATAATTAAAATATATAAATTAAATATAAAAAATAAATAAAAATAAAACAAAAATAAATGCATTTAAATATTTTTTAAATAAATGTAAATAATTAAATTAAATTAAAATATAAAAACAAATAAAAATATAATACCATATAAAAATAAATAAAATATAATATATAATATATAAAAAATATATACTTATATATTATATATAATATACAATATATAAAAAGAAAAATAAATTAAAATAAAATAAATATAAAAAACAAAAATATAATACCACATAATACCAAATAATAAAAAAATACATTTAAAAGAAATGTCATGATTTTTTATTTTTTTTTAATAAAATAAAATAAAATAAAAACACTTATCCTAATCTTCTGAATGTTTTTAGTCTGTGGTTCTGGCCATGGTGCTAAAGCTAATTATTTGACATTACATATCTTAAACCTATTAATTTTCCCATTAAAGCCATTTCCCAAGCCTGACCAACTTGGTGTGCATCTGGCTCAGCTGGACAGTCAGATATCTTTCTTACCTAACCAGTTGGAAAAGAAAATCCCTATAATAAACCAACCAGATCAGCTAAAACCAGTTAAGCTGTTCAAGGAAGTTTCATTTTTATCCAACAGGGTCATAATGTTCTGCATCTGAAATTAAGCGGTGTGCTAGTGCTTTTAAGAAGGGCAGAAAATGGCAAACAGGAAGTGATCGAGATAAAGAGTGAGGAAGAAATGAGAATAAAAGGGTGCAGATAGCTTTAAAAAAAAAAAAAAAAGACTGTCATCAGTCAACTTTGATCACTCACATGTAGAATGACGCCCTTTTCCAGCAAGCTCTGCTTTTTGGCAGTCATTACAAAGTAGTGGGTGTCATCCTTATAGTAGACAATGTTTTCCAGGTCAATTCCTGTGGAGACAAACCAACAGAAAAACAGAACAAGGTGAGTGAGAGGGAAGGAGAGCGAGAGAGAGCACCACACATTAATCATGTTGATTGTTAAATGTATGGTTTATTCTGATTTATTTGTATTCTTTTTTTACTTCTACTAATTACTCTGTTATTTTACATGCAATGCTACTTTTTTGTGTAAACTTTACAAATGCTTTGGCAATACATTTGTAACATTGGTCACGCTAATAAAGAGGGATGACAAATTATGAGAGAGAGGGATTGAGATTGAAGAGGCGATGTGACAGACAGCATGTCACCGTACTAAAAAAAAAAGGCCGATAGAGAAAGAGGAAGTTGTTTGCATCCGTTCACAGATGTAATTAAGTTCCATCTGTGCAGTAGATAATATGCCCACTCCCTCCATCAACAGGAGAGAGAGGATAACAGCGATTACACAACTCAAACATACTACAACAAACTGCTACCTCAGCACAAAGCACAGAACAAGCTCTTTGTTAGGTACATTTTTTTCCAAACATTTCCCAAAGGATGTTTAATAGAGCAAAAAAATGTTTCATAGCATCTCCTATAATACTTTTTCTTCTGGAGAAAGTCTTATTTGTTTCATTTCAGCTATAATAAAAGCAGCTTTGTTTTATTTTTTAAACCATTTTAAGGTCAATATTATTAGCTAACTAAACAAATATTTTTTTGATTGTCTACAGAACAAACCACTGTTATACAAATAGTTACAAATCACGGTTATGCGAATCCTTGGCTAATTAACCTAGTTAAGTTTTTAAATGTCACTTTAAGCTGAATATTAGTACCTTGAAAAATATCTAGTAAAATATTAGTTTTATATATTTTTTGATATTTTTTAATATTTATGTACTGTCATTATGGCAAAAATAAAAGAAATCAGTTATTAGAAATGGGTTATTAAATAAATGTTTAGAAATGCGATGGAAAAAAATAAATAAATGGAAATTAAAAAACAAAATAATTTAGGAGGGCTAATAATTCTGGCTTTAACTGTGTTAAGAAAAGTACCTGTGGCTTCTCTGAGGTCCTGGAAGAACTTTTGGTTGAAGATGAAGGCTACTCCGCTGATCTCCTCCACCTTTGCTTCTGCGGTCGTGTTGCGGTTAATGAAGTTTGCTGTAATGGCAATAGCCAGTTTGCCCCTGAACTCCTTTCTCCGGAACCCTGAACAGCCAGCAGAAACATTCACAAGAATAATCAGTGGAATGGTTATGCAAAACAACTATTGATCCATCAGATTTACTGCATATAAATATGGGTCAAAGCAAAAAAAAAAGGGACTTCAAAACATAATTTGTTTATCTTATTCCATATATTTTATTTGTTATGTTGATTGTCAGGTTAGACACAGTTGAAACCAGAATTATTAAACCCCCTTTGAAATTTTCACAGTGTGTCTGATAATATTGTTTTCTTCTGGAGAAAGTCTTTAGTTTTATTTCAGCTAGAATAAAAGCAGTTTTTTATTTTTTTTTTAATAACCATTTTAAGGACACAATGATTATCCTCTTTAAGCTATATATTTTTTGATAGTCTACAGAACAAACCATCATTATAAAATAACTAGTCTAATTACCCTAACCTGCCTAGTTAACCTAATTAACCTAGTTAAGCCTTTAAATGTCACTTTAAGCTGTATAGAAGTGTCTTGAAAAATCCCTAATAAAATATTATTTACTGTCATCATGGCAAAGATAAAATAAATCAGTTATCAGAGATGAGGTATTAAAACTATTACGATTAGAAATGTGTTGAAAAACTCTTCTCTCCCTTAAACAGAAATTGGTGGAAAAAATAAACAGCGGGGCTAATAATTCTGACTTCAGCTGTATATGATTAAAAACAGAGATGAACATTGCACCATGTCAGCAAAGTTTTGGATTATACACAGACCCTTTTCATAAAATTCAACAGGCATCATGTACAGCTGAATCATTGACCAGGCTGTGAAATTTGAATTCTTTTTCAACTATTTTCTAAGTGCTGTTTAATGGAGAGATTTTTTCCAACACATTTTAGGCAATATTTTGGATTCATTAATTTATTTTGTCTATGCCATGATGACAGTACATTATGTTTTGCTAGTTATTTTGCAAGATATCAGTATTCAGCTTAAAGCGCAACTTAAAGGCTTTACTAGGATGTAAATTAAATTAATCAAGCTCTAGCCATATATAAATAAAACAATAGGCTATTTTATTATATTAGGATTTTAGATCGGCGGGTTTCAAACCTGTATCATTTAGACCTGTATCATTTTTTACATTAAAGCTTTTTTTATATTAAAGGTAGCTTGGCAACAGAGTCGCAACATCAACACACAAAATCTATCGGCACAGTTCAGCACTGTTGTCTAACAGTGTAGAGAATTCATGGCTGAGAACGGTTTGTAACCGTCCTGCGCTGTTCCAGGCTCAGTGGAGAAACAACCGTAAGCGTACTGAACTGTTTTAAGAACGGTTTGGCACGATAGTGGAAAGGCGGTTTAGATTATGTTAAACAAATTAGGTTAATGAGTAAAGTCATTGTAAAACAGAGGTTTGTTCTGTAAACAATTAAAAAAAATCTTAAGGGGGCTATTAATATGGACCTTAAAATAAAAAATTAATAAAACAGCTTTTAAATAAAACAAGTGTTTGCATGATTATACAGACAAAGCAGAATAATCTAATAAGAAAATATACGTTTGCAACAACAAGCAGCAAAACGAGCTGTTTTTAATATCTAAATAAGAATGGAGGTGAAGGAGAGGTCTCGAGCCAAAACGATTCAAATGGCTGTGCCCGCTCGCCCACGGAGCATAAGGTGAATAGGAAATACTGGAAATTTCTTTGCTCAATTCGGGAAAGATTTTAATAAAAATAAATATTTGACAGCAGAGCTAATAATTTTGCTGTCAACTGTTAATCATTCGACAGATATTTTTTTTATTCAAAGCCTTTCAAAATGACCAGAGTGCAGCAAAATATAGATGCCATAACAAGTCTGTGTTAGCATTGTAAACCCTGAAAGGTTTTTGTTTGTTGATTTAAAAAAGTATATTAAACTATAAAACTATATTTACACTGTTGTATTTTATTAAGTTAAATTATATAATAAAAAAGTTCATGCTACAGTGATTGTGTTTCTAATACAGCGTTCTCTCTGTTAACTGCCTTTTCTGGCAGTCTCAATTACACTCCTTTTTTTTAAATAGTTTTTGTCTCTTACTATTTTTGTTATACTCTCCTATTCACTGTTTTCGGTTTACTCAACTACGATGAGTTCCACTGCTGAGAAATCTGAAAATTTGTGAAAACAGTCCATTACTCCCTCAAGATCCTCTCAAGCATTTTGATTGTACCATTTCTACTTCTGCTGCACGAGATGAGAACACATTTTTTATAATTCTTGGGTCAAGAAAGCTCTGTGGCTCTGTGTTCCTTCTCCTTTACAGTAAAACAATGCACTTCAATCTGTAGCACTGATAAACTCCTATCAAATACCACTAAAGCATTCTTAAGAAAACCAATAAAAAGCAGGTTAATGTTAAAAAGGGGGTGAAAAAAACATCTGTGATTGTGGTTTATTTTTCAGTTGAAAATTACATCCTTTAAATTCCACCTCCCCATTGTACAATTCGTCTAATGCAAAAATTGTAATTCAATCTCTTAGACAAGTGTTTGCACATTTCTCCTTAAAAAAGCACAATAATTTAAGATATCACTCATGTCTGCAGGATAAATGGTGTGGGATGAGGTACACATTGACGTTTGCTCAAGTAACACACCACTAATTATTATTATTATTTCTGTAACCTGTCTAGACAAGAGCCAACGAGCCATAAAGTACGTTTGCCACTTTCATTAACGCTGCACTCTTACCTGACAGTGTGTTTCTCCTCCCATCAGCCCCAATTATGACATCAAACTCTAGTTCATTGACTGGATGTGTTCTGGGGTGGACCTCGGCTCTCCACCCAATTCCTGGAAAAACCAACATCATGTTCAGCAATGACAGACAAGTCTTTTCTCCGCTAGCCTTGGTATCCGCTCAGGATATGCCAAGGCCCTTTAGAACGACTGGCATTTATGTGGGGAAAAAATAACAAATGGATAACAGCCGAACTTCAGTGCGGAAAGGACATGAGAATGTGATCTTACTCTCATTCTCTTGGTCTTCTGGTGGCTCAATGAGGCCTTTGAACTCCACGTTGACATGAATCTCGATGCCGAGGAGAAGAGCGACCTTCAAGAGCATCAACTGCAACTGACGAATACCTGCAGCAAGAACAAAAAATATCAATCCTGCTGGTCAGGAGCCATCACCTATGGTCATGAGCTTTGGATCATGACCGAAAGGACAAGATCTTTTCAAGATCTGCAGGGTGGCAGAGCACACACTTAAAGATAGGGTGAGGAGCTCTGTCACCCAGAAGGAACTTGGAGTAGAACCACTGCTCCTCCACAAGCGATGGTTCGGCATCTGTGGCCCCGTTTACACTAATACGTTTTAGTTTTAAAACAGCATTTTAAAATGAAAATTATCCACGTCCACACTGGTGTTTCATCTAGCATTTCTGAAAAGCTTTCCGTCCACACTACACTGATGAAAACGCACATCACATGACCATACATGCACTCTGGCATGCGCTAAAAGCTGCTTCAGCATATTCTCGTGTCTGAGCTCCAGGCAGTCAGCAGGAGCTCGGAGCACACCTGCCTGCCTGAGAGCAGCCGAACGTCAGCCAGCCCATCTTGAATCTACCGTTGGATCTCATCTCTCTGTAGTTGTTAAACACAATGTATAATTCCTCGTGTGTAGTTGAACTATACCTAATGAGTTGGTCTTTTGAATCTATAAGCCTACCTGTTCTCAGGTAACGTGTTTTAGCTGAGAGCAAAGATAAGTTTTACATAATAATTTATGTAACCACGTACACTAATTCCACACTCTTGACCGACTGCTTGCCTTTATTTCCTATATTGTACAAACTTATTGTACGTTCTACTTTTATAATTATTACTGATTATTAAAATGATAGATTACGGATTATTATATTCAACAAAAGAGACGGCTATTTCGTATTTCACCATGCATTTCCTCTGATAATCTTTATTGTTTGCATATAGCCTGACATTAAGCATATATTGACAAAATGTTTATATATATTGCATATATTGACAAAAAGCCTAATGTTTCATATTTTTTAATGAAAATGTAAGAAGGCAGCTATTAGGCTCCGTTTTGTTATAAATTTGCATACAGTGAAGATGTCGATCATATAAATATGTACATGATGCCTTTTCATTTTTGGTATCAGGTATGTTTAAGTTGTTAATATAAAAATTAGGAGACAGTGCTTTATGTCATGTTTTCACTTTATTGTTAAGATAGTGAAAGGTAGCCAGGGTGAATGATCTTATAAAAGTACAGTGAAGCTACATTTGAAGATTTATACGAAGTGTCCTTACATGCTTGGGAGATCGTTATAAACTTGCAAAGTCTGAACTTTAAGTACTTAATATTAAGAAAAAGTCCCAATCTGGTAGCGCGAATGTCAGCAACCATGCCACGTTTTCAGATATCTCTGTTTTCCCTCATACAATGACACGGAGCAGCAGCATATTAAAACGAAAACGGCCTCTTCAGCGTTTTCAAAATGCTCTGTTTCCGGGGCTCGAAAACTCTGGGGTAGTGTGGATGGAAGACGGAACCGAAGCAAAACTCACGCATTTTAAAACTAAAACGTATTAGTGTAAATAGGGCCTGTTTATGCATCCTGGATTCCTAATGAGGACAGTGTTCCAGGCTTGTCCCACTGGGAGGAGGCCTTGGGGAAGACCTTGGACACCCTGGAGGGACTATGCCTCTTAGCTTGCCTGGGAACGCCTCGGGATTCCTCGGACAATCTGGAGGAAGTGTTTGGTGATAGGAAAGTCTAGGGTTCCCTACGGAGACTGCTGCCCCTGTAAGGCGGCCCAGGATAAGTAATAGAAAATGAATGAATGAAAAAAGGATTAATCAATCCTGGTATTAACATTTGACTCAATATGCAGAAAAAGACATTCTAGGCCCTGTTTCCACCTTAAAATATTGTGTTTTTAATGATCAAATTAATAGTGGTCAGCAGAAACATGTCACAATTTCCACCCACTATTAACATGCATTTGAATCTCCTGTCCAAATTTCCTCAAGACCATTTCGTCTCGTTTCTTCAAACTTGGCACTCTACTTATGGGACCATTCAATGTACCTCAAGACCACTTTTGAATGAGCAAACCCATGTTATGAAGCTGATTTGAGCAGGAAAGTAAGATAAATTAAATTGATGTTGATGACAATGATCATTTCAATGGTAATTCACGTTTTGGTACAAGAACAGTACTGTGTAATTGTCTTGTTTAGCTTAAAAGTACCTCAGAAAGTAACTGAAAGTGGACAAGGTCAAAATGTTTGGGACCCCACTTACACCTTTATTTAGTGTTCTCACTACTTGATTTAAAGCAAGCCCTAGAGGAGTTTCAATGATCAAATGCATCACTTCCACAAAGAAAGAGTCCAAGTTTTATTTTTTCCTAATCAAATCTGTTCTATCTTGTTGGCAAAGTATAAAGCCCTTGTTTTCGCAGGTTTTCTCGCACGCATCCCACACTGATTACAAGAGCAGGCGGTGATTCAATGCATCAGTACAAATTAGCCTTTACGCCAGACTGGCTAGGAGTCCCAGAACACCTTTGAAGACTCTAGTTAGAGTTATTGAAAGTCTCCAAGGTGATTGGTAACCCATTTACGACTATATGTAACAGGATCCAGTTGTAATAGGATCTTCTGTAATAGATGCCCATACTGTGAAGGTTAATTTCTTTGTAAGGGTGTGTTCACACTAGTAGTCAGGTTCTCTTATATTCCACTGAGTGGTAAAGATACATTTATTTTCATTTCCACTGTTAAAAAGGTACCAAAATAGCGAACTGTACCATATCACTTTTTTTGACGTAGCTAGCACAACAGTACGGTACCAGATCAAGACTCAATGCTGAAGGCTACTGGTTTACAGGAAAACGTCACCAGCGTATGCAATAAGAAAAGGGAACAACAAAATAGGAAGCACCATTTTTAAATAGACAGCCAATACAAAACACCGTAATAATACAATTATGATGCATAGCAATAAACCATCCTCCAAAAAAATGTGTCATCTTTCTGTGACAAACAGCCACATATCAAGAGGCAAGAACAGTATCTCCTGTATGTCCTCTAAAGTGGTTTAGCAGGACATTCTCACGTCGTAACTAAAAAATGTGAAAAGCAATAGAGGCACCACTTCCTCTCTCTATTTGCGTGCACTTGAGAGCCCGTTTCCACTGAGTGGAACAGTTTGGTATGGGTCGGTATGGGTCAGCTTCATCAGGTCATCGTTTCTACTCCCAAAAGTTACAAGTGGTGTACAGGTGTGGTGTTCGACAAAGTTTTAGTTGACGTCATTCTCGCTCGAGGAAATGTCAAAGTAAAGCTGTACGGGTCGTTCATATATCATACGAGAAGCACTACTCACAAAACAGATGCTTTACATAAATACTTGTGTATAAAATGTTCATTACTGACCTTTCTATTAACCTGATTTGATTTTAACTGCAGATCAATGACATTGAAATGAACTACTGTAACGTCTGCGATTATATAAAATAAATAAATGCAACATATGTGAACAAATACAGACTCTTACAGTCTCCGATATGTTACTAATTACAGAAAAAATACACACAGCATAAATTTAGTCCTTATTTGAGTTCAAAAACAACACGTAACAGATAGCCCACAGTCAGTGCAATCTTTGTCAGGACATGTAACTTCTTTCAGAAAATAATTTCGGCATTCCGAGTTCATAATAGTTCAAAAGGCGGTGATAACAGTTTGTTCATGTTTTTGGTCGCTGAAAGAATCATTTGCTCCTTTTTTTTTCACGCGTCACTCTTGCATTTGTCTGTTTCTGAAAGAAACTGGTGTCAGAAGCACGTTAGTAATCACGTGGACGTTATAAATATCAGCTCAAGAAATTTGTTATTTCAAACAAAGAAGACTATGACAATGTTTGTTTGAGCTTGGGTCGACCATGGTACGTTATGTATTTATTTTTACAGTGTAATGTTTCTGCTATGTATTTAAAAATTATGCTTCCTTTGTTTTCATTCTCCTGGCTTGTGCACAAGCCAGTGACGTATCTCTGTAAACCAATGGCGTTTAGCTGCATGTCCAGCTCCACCTTTTGGTACCCTTTTGTCATGCTAGGTACCCTTTCAAAAGGGTACCCAAATAGTTGCACGGTAAGATTCATTTTTGATACCTTTTGATGGTGAAAACGGCCATAGAAGAGTACCGTACCACTCAATGGAAACGAAAATTAAAAAACACAAGTTCACAAAAGACTCTATATGTGAACAACACGCAAGGCTTCCATCTTCAGCAAGAATGACGTTAATCGCAACATTCTGGCATACACTACACCTATCAAGTAAGGGTGGTACTATTGGCAGTGGAAACGCAACCCTGACATGGGCACTGAACATGTTTCTGTACTGAAGATGTTTCGGTCTGAACCAAAAATTCTGATATATTTGATCCTGGTTCACCAAGCATTCACATTGCCATTTTAAGACCAAACCTAAAGTGCCAATAATTTTGCATAATTTCATCAGCTGTAGACTTACGAATAGCTTATAAAATAATTAGAGTAGGCAAAAGAGTGTCAGGAATTCCTCAATCCCACACACAAATGATGCATTCAAATTTAAGGCAAACCTTCAAAAAGTTTTAAAAAATTGTATGTACTTACTGATATGGTCGATGGCTCCAGCACAAAATTTGCCGTAGAACTTCTTGGCTCCAAGACCCCTCAGATCCTGAATGGTGAAGGGCCAAAGATGGAGCACATTGTTTCGAGAGAACGCATCTCTCTTCTCCAATAAAACCACCTTGGCCCCGAGGAAACCCAGCTCTATGGCTGTACGTAAACCACATGGTCCAGCTCCAATTATCAGACACTAGGAAACAGACCCACAAAAAGTTACAATCAAATCATTGAGCCACATGAAGTCCATAGAGAATCTATTTTAGGCAGCACTGCAAGTTTGGGAACTAATAAGCAAAACAGGGAAAAGGTCCCAGGGAAACTTTCATACCTTAGTGTTGGCACAGGCCCTTCCTTTTTTGTATTCTTTGTGGCTGGCGCGCTTGTCTAATTTGGCCCAGAGAGCTTTGGCTTTCCAGTAGTTGAGCTTGGACTTGAGTTTGTGGTAGAACACGCGGTATTCATTGGGCTTGAGTTCCAGGAAGTCACAGAGCTCTTGAAAAGCCTTGAGAGTGCCTTTGCAGGTGGTGGCCTGGACGAAGCGGTCAAAAAGCATATGGGACTGATTCACCCCTTCTCCCACCGCATTGACGCCTCCATCTCCCATGTTCCCTTGACCCGACAAGCGGGGATTATGGGACAGGCCCCGCCCAGCTCACTCAGAGTCTGTCTGTTTGAGATTCAACTTCCTCCATAGGACATTTTCACCCTGAATGAAGAACAAGAGAAATGATTAGTCATTTTTGGCATTATAACACCTTAAGATTATAAACAAAGTGACCCACTCTCATCAACAGGTCATTTTAAAAACCATCTTAGACAACTTTTTCTAAAGGTCAGTGCAGACAATCCAGTAAAATCTGCCTTTAGTACAGGGTATATCCAGGAATCCTAAAAATAATTTCAATACCTTTTTAAGACTTTTAAAAAGAATATTTTTCAGAATATTTTAAGACCTCTTCACCACTACAAGTTCTAAACTGTATCAAATCTTTCACTTAATAAACAGTTGTAGTAGTTAAATAAATGAATGGAGCACAACCATGAAACAGAATCGGATAAGATCTGAAGAAACAAAGCTTTAAAAAATAACATGGTTGTTTTCAGCGACAGGCTTTAGCCACTGTTTAAACTCGTCTTTCTCCAACCAGGAGTACGCAAACTTATATTTTCCCATTTTGTTTCGCTCTATGGTTTGGCTAAATGTGGAGAGCGTCACATCACCTTCCTGCGTTTGTCAAAAATTACATCACATCACCTGGACGGAGGAGCTTAACTAGATGCACCCCTGGCCCGAACCAATCGCATGGATTGAGCACACCGTTGTTAATATTAGGAGGAAAATAAATATATTTATGCTTTTTTGGAGTTAAATACTTTGGACAGCGCTTGAACAAAATTTAAGGCCTCGTAAAAACGCAATTAAGACTTTTTAATACCTTTTAAGAGCCTTAATTTTCTCATAATTGATTTAGCAACTTTTAATTCTTTTTAGACCCTGCGGACACCCAGTAGTAGATATTTTTGTCAGTGATAATTAAAAGGCAGTCTTGTACGAATTACTGAAATTGTGTATTTTGACATTTTCAGCTAGGCATGACAACATTTTGGTAACATTTTACAATATAGACTACACAATATGTCTATGATAGTACTTGCTTTCAGGAATAGTTACAGAAAGAGACAATATAAACTAAAGTATACATTCCTATCCCATCATCTGCAAGAAGTATAACAGAAAAAAGAACTAATCTAAGATACATAATTATAGTTTTGCGAATCAAAACAGGGATTTGGGTGGCAGAATCTCAATTTCAGTACGTGACAAACTATGTTTTTAATTAAATTCTTGTCATAAAATGAGAAAATAAAAAATATAAAAGCATTTAATTATATTAAATATTTAATATAAAAGTTGCACAAGACTGAACTTGAGATAGAATCCACTTAATATTTCTACAGGACTTGAAAACCTGATATAACGAAAACCATATAAAACATACTGTGCAAAACCTGTCTATAAAACAGGTTTTAAAAGTTAACACCATTCAACAACAGAGTGGGCTGCCAAAAATCTTGCCTGGAAAATTTCATATAGCCTGAAGGACCTAAAAGAAGGAATAAAGACTTGGCATCGGAAATGCTGAAAATGCCCTTATCTGAGAGTCAATGACCACAGGAAGACTAATGACTGCACAGAAACCCAAACAGGATATGCGGATATATTGGAAGTCCATGCATTCCTCTGTGAAAGAGACACCTTTGACATGATAAATAAACCGCATTGCTGCATAATTAACATACACTGTTGCCGGCCCTGTCCTACTCAGGTGTCAAACTGTAACAGACTGGCCAAAGCTTGGCTGTGCAATGTATTTTCAAGCCAACAACTGGCCATTAGTTGGGAAAAGACTTCTGATCGACTTTTAAAACCAAACACAGGCCCTGCTCACTCATATTACCACATTGCATTTTGGTAACAAAACCATGGACATCTGTACAACCAATATTTTATAATATTAAAGGTAATTATAATTAGTGTCTTTATATAAAATCATTTTAAAATCATTAATGTCTATAAATGTTGCTTTGCATAAAATAAAATATTATTTAATATATAAAATAAAGCATTGACAAATCTGTATTTCAAAAAGAAAAAAAACAACATGGATGGTACATGCAGTTGCTCGGAAAAATAAGTGAAAATGTTTCATTAAAGTAGATTTAAGATTTTTTTTTGCCATATCCCACAGCCCTATTTTTATTGCTATTACCCAACAACAAAATTAGCCAATAATTGTATTATTTTCGCAGTTTGTACCACTTCACATGTTTGCTGCCTGCCACTATTTTTATTACTTTACTGATATTTTGATTGTGGTTAAATGTTAGGTGGTTATTATCAGTGCTTTATTTAAGCATTTTTAGATCCTGCAGTACATTGTGTTTATATAAAAGAAAGTGGGCTATAGATCTCTATACATTTCAGAAATCAGTCTTTATTTTTCTGAAGTTAAGGTTATAAAATAAAACCAGTTGTTCACTGTGGTTAACTTCTGTTTTTGGAAACATCAGAAATATTAGAAAAAAATACTACTTATATTTATTAGCTAACAAATCTTCTCCAAATCTAAAAAAAGCTATCGGTTATTGGTTTACAAAAATACCATACTGGTGCATCCCCAGTGCTGGGCAAATGAAAAAATAAATAAATAAATAAATAAATAAATAAATAAATAAATAAAATGTTAAAAAGCATCCCACTCAGACTGTTTTTTTTTATTAATCAGGCAACTGAAAATGACCACAAAAATATAGCTGTGAGCCACTGAAATAGAACATCAAAAACATCACAAATGAGCAGTTTGTCAGGGCCAAGGTCTCTTTGAAACAAATCGAGCCTCACACTCACTCTGCTAAGGTGTGGTCTAGATGAAGGAAAGCTGGAATGAAAGGAAAGGTAGGTGAAGGGTTAGTGTGACGCCCTTTCACTCTGCTCTGTGAAAACACACTCCTGACCTCACACACCGCTCGCAAACTGCTGCGCCAGCAACCAGATCAACACCACAGCCAGACACTCAAAGCCTCAGTATCACATAGGCAGCAGACGTGACGTAATGACACTCTAACATGCTTTCATAATCATCACATTTCAGCTGACCAGCGCTTATGGGGCAAAAAAAATATTACATAATGAAATTAAAAATTGAATAAAAATGAAACAGCTCAAGCATAACACAGAGAGAGGTAAAAACATAATAAAACACCATGAAACTTGAGTTAAAGAAATATAAAGTAATGCAATACAGTTTTGGTAACATTAAATAAAAAAAAATCATATAGTAATTACTTCCTTCTCTCTCTTTCCTTCTTTCATGGTTTTTCTTTTGTTCCTTCTTTCCATCTTTCTTTCATGTACTCTTTCCATCTTTCTATTCTTCTTTCTTTTCTTTCCATCAAGGTCTTTTTCTTTCTTTCCATCTTTCTTTCATGGAATTTCTTTCTTTTTTGTCCATTTTTCTTTCCTTCTTTCTATCATGGTCTCTTTCTTTCCTTCCTTGTTTTTTTTCCTTCCTTATTTCCATCATGGTCTCTTTCTTTCTTTCTTTCTTTCTTTCTTTTTTCCTTCCTTCTTTCCAGCTTTCTTTCTTTCATGGTCTTTTTCCTTCCTTCTTTCTCTCCTTCTTTCCATCTTTTTTTCTTTCATTCATGGTTTATTTCCTTCATTTTTTCTTGGTATCTTTCCCTTGGTATCTTTTTTGTCTTTCTTTCCTTCTTTCATTCCTTTTTTCCCATCTTTCTTTCATGGTGTCTTCCCTTCTTTCTTTCCATCATGGTCTCTTTCTTTCCTTCTTTCCATCATGGTCTCTTTCTTTCTTTCTTTCTTTCTTTCTTTCTTTCTTTCTTTCTTTCTTTCACGATCTCTTTCTTTCTCTCATGTTTTTTTCCTTCTTTCATTCTTCTTGGCATCTTTACTTTCTTCTTTTATGTTCTCTCTTCTTCTTTCTATCTTTCTTTTTCCTTTTCATCTTTCCTTCTTTCTATCTTTCCATTATGGTCTCTTTCTTTCCTTCTTTCCAACCTTTTAATTTTTAAGGTCTTTCTTTCTTTCCTTCTTTCTTTTCTTCGTTCTTTCTTTCATAGTCATTCTCTTCCCTCTTATTCTTTCTTTCTAGTCTCCATATGTAATGTTGCAGAAAATATTATTTACATTACATAACAGTGAATTAAACTATATGAAATTGTAATAAACAAATCCAGCAAGTACGCATGAAAAGAAAACAAATAAATATATAAAAACAAAGTGAAATATTTAATAATGAAATTAATTAAATACACTACTATACGCTAAGCTATGATACACTATAATATAAACTCATGCAATATTACTTACTAAAACAATGATATGACAAAGTTTTAAAATATATTTGTATGTTACTTTAACTCTATCTCTAATTTTATCTCTAACTTAAATAGGCCAATCAGGTTTCAACTGAATATTTTCAGAGATATAAAGTTTACCCTAATATTTTTAGTCAGTTTGACTGATGTTGAGTTGAGATGACTAGAAAAGTTCATTTGATTCAACTAAAGAATTTTAAGCTGCAATATTATTTCTACAGCGTATATAGTAAGCAACATTATCAGTCATATTATATTAGCAGCATTATTATTAAACAATTCACTCTGATCATGTCAATCTAATTATATTAATCAATAAAATTTGCTTAAAATTTGCTCCTTAAATTTGTGACTTGTAGCTCATCAATAAATTAAATTTAATAATAGTCAATAATCACGAATATCACAAAGGAGCTATCATCAGATTGTGATAAACTGGCATCAATCATTGCTGACAGCCGATTATAGAATGATAATGCAGGCGTTTATGGTTTAGTGTGAAGATGGAATTTACAGTCTTGTCCTTTAGCTTTCTCTACACGTCAGCAGTCAAGCTGGCTCCCAATATCGGAAAAGTGTGTTAAAGCACTGAGGCAGATGGATCTGGTAACTGGTTTCCTCTCTCCATTACTCTATGACACTACGCTAATGCTTCAAAGGGCTCAACCTTTTTTTTTTTTTTTTTACACAGCAGCAGTCGTGTAAACAGAAACGTCCATGATGTTCAAAGTACAGCTCATTAAACAAAGTCTGCCGAATTAATGTGAAGCACTGCAAGCAAAAACTGTCATTTTTGAGATTTTGATC